TGATTGATTGATAAAAATGCCTGAGGGAGTCTCACTGCCACCAGCCTCAAGTACCCACACACCCACTCTGCAGGAACATGAAATGAGACGTTTACTGAAGTCAGTGAACCCTGATACCCAGCAACATACTCAAAGCACCTACTGACCAACTCACTGAAGATCTTCATGAAGATCTTCAATATCTCCCTGACACATGCCACCATCCCACCCTGCCCAAAATCAGCTACCATCACCCCCTGAAAAGCCAGTCATTGATGGACTCAACAACTGTAGACCAGTTGCGCTCACAGCTGTGATCATGAAGTGTTTCGAGAGGCTGGTTCTACAACACATCAAAGCCAGCCTACCTCCCACATTCGACCCACGTCAGTTTGCATACTGTGCAAACAGGTCCACAGAAGACGCCATGGCCATATATATTGCACTGAGCCACACAGAACACAGTTGAAGCTACATTACACTGCTCTTAAGAGACTGGGTTCGTCCTTCACCTTCTCAGAATGATCCCACACTTTGGATTTCCTGCCTGACATGTTATTAACTAGCCTGTGGAATAACCGCAGGTACCAGCCCTGGAATTTAGGGGCCGTTCCCATGCCACATCTAACCCAACTGGAAAACACGAGGTCAGGCGCTGGGCGTCTTTTTTGTGCCAGCTTTCAAGAGCATGGCAGCAGGTTGCTTCTGAGATTGCTAACCAACCTCAACAAGCATCATATAGCCTGTTTACCTGAAATCCTGAGGTCAGAGCTGATCTTCTTCCAGGAACTGTTTATAAGTGTGTAGGCCTATCGTCTGTGGGACAGATGTTAAGCTCTGGGTAGCCCTGCACTAACATGATCAACGTCTCTGTGTTTATCAGACTGAATATTTACAGAAAACGGGAAAGATATTGTGGCGTGGACACTTCCTGTGTCTGTCCTTTCAAATTCTTACATGCTCCAGTCATATAGGTTTGGATTTATTTTGGTGCAGCTGTAAGGAAATTGCTCAACTTCAGCAAACACTGAAGTGAAGAGACTTGGAGAACCACGGAGAAAAGTTACAGCCAACGGGATTACTTTATTTGCAAAATACAGCTCAATAGAACAAATTGTAGATCACAAACAGTATGACAGAACAGCCGAAACAGCCTTGCTTATCCAACTTCCAAAAGCCTTTATACTATTGAGTGTGTGGGCATCTGTTCGTTTGTGTGCGTGTGTGTGTGTGTGCGTGTGTGTGTGTGTGTGTGTGTGTGTGGACAGGTCTGGGCTTAGGACCTAGTTGTCCCTATAGGTTTGATTTCTCGGGAACCCTAAGTGTTCTGTTTGATTTCCGAGAATTGGAACTGCGCACGAATTTATCAAAACAACTCCTTTATCGTAGTTTCCCTAGCATTCTGAACATCACTTAACTCAAAAACGACTTCTTATAAGGATTCGTTCCTATTGTGAAACCTAGCCTATCTGTTCCAACGGTCAGGTCACCCTGACCCCAAAATGTTCTACTCCATTTGATTTCCCAGAGCTTGACTACGCTAAAACTACTCAACTTACCAAAACACCTCTAAGGAGTCCATTTTATTGCCAAATCTGATATTTGATCAACTGCTTCCAAAACCTTGTGTAACTGACCTTATTTTCACCTTTGGTGTAAAATGATCTACACAGCTCCTAATACAGTTTCACTTTCTTTTTGAAAATGAAATCTTGCTGACTAATGATCTTTCTGGTTGACCAAGGTTTGTTCACGTTCCTGGAAACTCCGATTTCTGACAACCTCTCCTGTCGTCTGTTGTTTGTCGAACCACAGTGACTGTCAAAAAGGCACAGCAGTGACTCAATTTGAAGACAAAGCTGCTGGTGGCCTTTTATCATGCAGCATTCCAGAGCATACTGAAAAATCATTGGCTGCTCGCTGTCCTCTTTGGAAGACATTGTCAAATCCAGCTCCATCAGCAGAGCCACTTACATCACTAAGGACTCCACACATCCTGATCACCAGCTATTTGAACTGTTGCCGTCTGGCAGGTGCTGTGGCTCTGTCAAAACATGCACATCCAGATTCAGAGACAGTTTCCCCCCCAAGGTTGTAAACACAATGAACTCAAATAAGCGCTGAAAGACTTCACTATTTATAATATCTATTTCTTCTACTTAACCATGTGCAACACCATTTCATAATGGTATGTATTTCCTTCAGTACACACCGTATTTTTTCTATGATTTTATTCATTTATTTTATGGTGGTGCAGTTTGCATGTTCTCCTTGTGTCAGCGTGGTGGAACCCACGGTCCCACAGTCCAAAGACATGCAGGTTAATTGGTGACTCTAAATTGTCCGTAGGTGTGAATGTGAGTGTGAATGTTGTCTGTCTCTATGTGTCAGCCCTGTGATAGTCTGGTGACCTGTCCGGGTTTTGCCACCAGAAGTTGAACCAGCTGCAGGGATTTGATCCTATTCAGCCACATGAGCTTTAGTGAATACAGCACTGATGTTGTCCTGTTTACACCACCATCTCCCCATTTTCAACACGGATGTTTGTATTTAATCAGAATCATCTTTATGGGTCCAGTGTCATTCTGAGGTATGTCAAATCAGCCTGCTTGACTGTGTCACCACTGATGGAAATTGGGTTCAGGGAAGTGCTGCTAATTTTGGGGGTGCTGACAACCAGCTCTTTTTCCTTATTAGCATTCAGCTGCACTGTTACACCCCTGAATGAAATAAAAGATGAAGTGTTCATAAGTCCTCACAGAGTTATTGATATTAAGAAGAGCAGGTGTGGCAGTGTTGAATTCCTGTAGCATACACTGCAGCTGATAGCTCAGAGGCTGTGTACATATATAATATATACATAATATAATACTGTTTAAAACTGAGCGTTTACGCCAAAAGACAACTGAAGAATCATTATAATAATTAACTGCAATAATTGCACTATTAGTTGCGCAACATATTTGAGCCTCTCAATGGTAGTAACACTGCCTATTTAATCCTTATTAACCCATTAACACTACCAGCAGGTCTGAATGAGTTACCATACTTTGCAGCGTTGCCAGTGAAAGCTAACAAATTTGTCTATGCACTTAGGAAAGTTGCCAGGTCATAGACGTATGCTCACATTTTAGTTTATGAAATCTTAATACAAAAAAGGGGCTGATGAGCCGCAGGTCGCCTACATCCTGACCCAGACAAGTCAGTCCTTTTGAAAAGAATAGAGATATTTCAGCCTGCCTGTTTTTGCTGATATAAAAAGTCAGATAAACTGTACCTCAATAACCTGCATGGTGTGATTAGCATAACAGTACAAAAAAGTTCTGAGTACATTTCAGGCATTTAGCATTTTTATGATGATCTATGTTGTTAAGCAGTTGTTATTTTTGCATTTCATGCTTCAGTTACAGTCATTATTCATTTTCTGTTATTTATCCTTCTCACTTTTTAAAAAGACTGTCACTGATTGTAGTAGTAACTCGTAACATTATAACTGTGCAAAATGTGAGGAAACCATGAGCGCATAACGCAGTAACATTTTTGTGCACAATGTAATAACTTATTACAATATGAGAACATAATAACATTATAAACTAAGCAAAAGATAAGTTGAATCATGTCATAAATTCAGCGCCAAGTCTAATGATTTTAAAAACATTAGTCTCTTTGTCTTCATAAAGCAAAGGATCCTAATCATTTTTAGTGAAGCAAGTGGAGTCCTTGATTTAAAGGTTTTGTATATGTTACTCAGAGCAGAGGTGGACCCTATGGCCCAAAAATAATATCACGATATTTCATACATAAATTAGCCTTACTGGATTAGTTTGAAGATAAAAACAGATTGAAAACATATTGACTAAAAGGTGACTAAAATGTCATGAATTTTCATTGACTAAAACTATGAGGGATAAAAATGACTAAAACCAATAAAGACTTTTGTCTCAAGACTCAGACTAAATGTAAAATAGCTGTCAAAGTCAAACACTGATATCCATTTGGACTCAAAATAAATAATTATAAATAGACCACCTGACTACAGGTTGTACAGCATGATGGTAAAAACTCATTCAGACCTGTTGGTAGTGTTGATAAAATAATTAGGATTAAATAGGCGTGTTGCCACCACTGTGACACTGTGAGATGTTTTGCTATCCAGGGACTTCTTTTTAATTTATTTTTTGTCCCAAAATGTCTCTTTTGATAGTAGAGTTTTCCGACCCTGGTCTGGGCAGTTATGGAAATACAAAATCTTCATATGTCATACAGTATATGCAGAGATCAAAATTACTGAACCTTTTTTGTTTCAAAAGGTAAACATGGGAATATTGATCTTACATAAAGAGATGAGACAGATTACTGAACATAATTTATCTGTTTATTGAATCAGCAGACATGAAATCAAAACTGTCAGTATATCTCCTTCCAGTGATGTCATCGAGGCTTGGCACCCTGGTAGAAGTGACATCGCCACGGCAGATGTGTCAGCACATGCTGGGGATCTTCAGTGGTGCATTTAATGGTGATCGTGGTGATCGTGGTGATCGTGGTGATCGTGGTCATGGTGATCATGGTCATGGTGATCATGATGATCATGATGATCGTGGTGATCATGGTGATCATGGTGGTCATGGTGATCATGGTGGTCATGGTGGTCATGGTGATCATGGTCATGGTGATCATGATGATCGTGGTGATCATGGTGGTCATGGTGATCGTGGTCATGGTGATCATGATGATCGTGGTGATCATGGTGGTCATGGTGGTCATGGTGATCATGGTCATGGTGATCATGATGATCGTGGTGATCATGGTGGTCATGGTGATCGTGGTCATGGTGATCATGATGATCATGGTGATCGTGGTCATGGTGATCATGATGATCGTGGTGGTCATGGTGATCGTGGTGATCATGGTGGTCATGGTGATCATGATCGTGGTGATCGTGGTGATCATGATGATCATGGTGGTCATGGTGATCATGATCATGGTGGTCATGGTGATCATGATCGTGGTGATCATGGTGGTCATGGTGATCATGATCGTGGTGATCATGGTGGTCATGGTGATCATGGTGATCATCTACAACACAGTTGGAGATGATGAGAAGAATGATTACACACAGTGATCCATGTGGCCGACATGATACAAGAGTGTCAGGAGAAATATTACAGTCACATTCCTCATGTTTGTTTGTGAAGGTGACCAATATCAATCCTTAAAGAACAGGTTCAGATCCATTCAAGTGTCTTAATGCAACACTCAAATGCTAAGCATACAGAGACTTATTGATTCCTGTAATTATCCCTCTCATCCAAACTGGTGACCACACTATAAGAAATAAAGCTTTCAGAGTTTCAGTCATTTTAGTTCAAACTCCCTCTTTGTCTTATAAAAACTCTCCACTGCAGTTCATCCACTTGATTTGACTAACTCAGACTGCTGAGGCCTCATATTAGCTTTGGATAAACTTCTGAAGCTTTGCACAGAAGGAGGATGGCAGAACCTGTGAACCTGTCCTTTAAGTGAATAAGTGCCTGAAGACAGTGGAAGTCTATAGATATTATAAATCAATAAAGCTGTGATCCAAAAACAATCAATTTGAAACTAAAAAACTTGAACAGGAGTCACAGAGTGTCAGCTGCTGTATTGTAACCATCCACCCCCCGACTCTGAGAAGTACCAACCACTACAATCCGCCTGTGAACATAAAGAAAACATCATTAGTACTGAACTCAACTTGAGCTTTATTGTGTGTTCAACATTTTATTGCACTGGTAGTTATTGTGAAGACAAAATATGAAAATGACAAATATGTTGAAGACATGATGTTGGGCTCAGAGACATGAAACTAGTGTTTAAAGATCTGGTAAATGTATATATTACTCACCATTCCAATCCACAGTCCACTGGTCAAACAGAGGACCATGATCAAATGAAGACTTGATGCCATCTGTGGAAAGACACAGTATATTAATGAAATAATGCACCACAGATATGTATGTGAAACTGTGACCTGTGAGCTTAAATTACAAAATTAAAATTTCAAAACTATTGAAAAATTCTTCTTACAGTGATGTAGTTTGATGATACAGGAAGATTAAATTCTTTTTAAAAGTTTGCATATTTTACAGTTTTTTGCTCAAAAATGTAAAAATGAAATAATAAATCTCTTTCCTGTAGATATGAATGAAAACAGCTGATGCAGTGATGACAGGCAGGAATGAGAGCCTTACCTTGATGTGATGATCAGGTGAGGTTGCACTTGCAGCAGTAGCAGGTAGCAGGGTGTCTTTGAGAGGGAAACCTACAGTTTATATACCTTCTCACATGTGACGTGTCTTTGTTTGATCACAGGATACAGTTAATTATTGTAATGATTCATCAGTTGTCTTTTGGCGTCAACGCTCAATTTTAAACAGTATTATATTATGTATATATTATATATGTACACAGCCTCTGAGCTATCAGCTGCAGCGTATGCTACAGAAATTCAACACTGAACAATTTTCATAGAAATAAACTTGGTCCTGTTCACCCTCCTGGGACCCAGAAGAAAAAAAGTTTTGATATCAAGATTTGTTTTATGCCATTTAAGTATTAGACTTGAAAGAAACATTTTGCATCAAAAAAAAAAAATCAAAAATATTATTTATTTATTTTTTATCACGTCCTCTGTAGAGGACATCAGGACTTAGTCGGGTTACAATGGGACTATGGGGTATTTTATGCTTTATCTCTAAATATATAAGCTACAAAGGGACTTTTACTCCCCTGGAATTATTATGTGTCTGTCTTCAATGCTTAACACTATGATGGATAGCTGTAGCAAGGTAGAGTGTATTCTTAATAGCTATACCAATGGGCCTGATGTTGCAGTCAGGGTGCAGGATTGGTACCCTGTACCACTGGGTTTAAGTGCCTAGTGGTCCAGCGGCACTCACCCCTCACTATCTATGATGTGATGAGGTGTAATGCTTGCTATGTAGTCATTCAACACTTGCCCAGGCAATAAGAAGTGATGGGGAGCCCCATAGTTTGACCCATGACCCCTATGTGACAGACCCCGAAGACCAAGTAAACTTTATTGTGTGTGGTGGCCTAGGAAGGGTAAAGAACAGTGGAGTGAAGCTTTATAGATACTGTTGTTATGTGTGAATACACTCTCAGCATGAATTGTCATTGTTTAAAGGAAACAGAGCAAGAAGTTTCTCGAAATCCTCCTTTTAGGTAATATCCTACCATAGATGCACGGGAATGTACGTTCATCTATGGTGTTCTTATTTTCCAATAAACCTCCAAATTCTTGCATACACATTACTTCAGAGTCTCACCCCAAGCCAAATTTCTGCTTTCACACTGACTCATCTTTAAAATGTATTAGAAATTATGAGAAAAAAAACGTCATTCCCTTTAATGGCCTTCTGCCGCTGAATGATGGACAGTGGTTGAAAAACAGGGGGTACTAAGTCTCGATGTCCTCTACAAAGGATACTGAATAAAAGGTGTATTTTGAAAAGGTTAAAATTACTCTGGATTTCTTATTTCTCTCTAAATTAAAGTTAAGACCCTTATATTCAGGAAACTAATTAAATATTTACAAAATAATTATAATTTTTGCCAGAAAATGTTCAATTACCACTCTGGCAGCAAAAAACTAGAAAAATTTAATGGCAGCCATTTTGAAAAGGGTGTGTGTTTGCCCTGTTAACCCCACCCACATAATGTCTACATCATTAGAAAGCCCTGGATGTCCTCTTCAGAACACAATTTGACCCAAATGGATAGCATAAAGAATACTTGAGTTACACTAGTTAGACTAATGTCCTCCACAGAGGACAAAAGAATTGTCGGGACCCAGTTACAGTGCTGTATCCAGTTCTCTTTATCCTTCCATGGTTAACAATGATAGCACTGTCAGCAGTTGCTGTTGTTTTCACACTGCTTCTGGAGTTACCAACATTAGCTGGTAGTGACACCTGCCAGCTCATCCACCTCCATGTTGAGAAACGTGTCCAGGCAACTCATGAGCTCAGAATTATGCATTGTGCCATTTTGTTTTAAATTTATTTTTTATTTTTTTATTTGCACAGTAAAAAAGAAAAACAAGCAAACAAAACCGACAGAATACAGCAAGCAGATTGTGCAGGTGAGATTTAAAAAACCCCGAGAGGCTTATAGAGGGAATCTCACCATATCAGCATTATGAACATATATTAATAAATCCATAGCAAAAAACAGACAAACAAATATAAAAACATGGAATCAAAAAGCAAAGACAACAACAAATAGAATTGTGAGTGAGAGCATAAGCGTATGTGTGTGTGTATGAGTTTATGTGTTTATGTGTGCTCAAGCGAGCATGGGAGTGTGCGATTGTATACGCACGTGCCAAAGCACACTTGTATTCAGACAAATCAGTCATATCCTTACAGTGGATAGAGTATGGTCAATTATAGTTAAATGTGATCAGTTTGAAGAGTTTGGTTCATCAGACAGGACCGTAGCCTATATTTGAAACTCTTGAGTGAGGTAGACTGAGATGCAATTTAAATATGACTGTTCCAAAGCTGAGCCCCTCTATATCTGATGGAGAATTGACAAAGCCTAGTACGAAACATTGGAAGATGTAAACATTTGGCATGTTTCGTATTATACTTATGAACATCACTGTTAGTCTGGAAAAATTCTTTACAAGGTATGGAAAATGAAGCAGACGGATGCAAGATTTTGTAAATTAATATACAGGTTTGATATACATTTATTTTAAAAACTGATAAAATATTAAGCTGATTGAAGAGATGGGCTGGGTGTTCTATCCTATTGCTGAAAGTGGCAATTCTGCAGAACTTTTTTTGTAAAATATAAAGCTTATGAAGGTGAGTGGGATAGGTAGCTCCCCAAATAACATTGCAATATATAAGGTACGGATAGATTAAACTATAATGGAGGATTAATAAACACTTTTGATGAACCAAACCTTGAATTCTGCCAATGATTCCAACAGACCTAGATATTTTATTGCAAACAGACTGAATATGAGTCTTCCAGCTTAGAGTTTCATCAGTTATGACTCCAAGGAAACTTGTGAATGAAACCTGGGTAATTGAGTTTTTTCCAATGGAAAGACAAGAGTTAGATCTAGAGTATTTTTTGTTTTTTTGAGTAAATACAATAAAATTAGATTTGTTAACATTTAAAGATAATTTGTTTAATAGAAACCATTTGGAAATTCTTTCTAAATCAGTGTTGACTTTGGCCATTAGTACAGAAAAATTAGAATGTGAGACAAATAAATTGGTATCATCGGCAAAAAGTACAGGAAACATGGAGGATAATGCTGCAGCCAGATCATTAATGTAAATGAGGAATAGGAGTGGTCCTAAAATAGATCCCTGTGGGACCCCACAGGTTATAGTCACCCTATCAGATGTCGATCCATAAGTGGTTTATAAGTCATTCATAAGTCCTCACAGAGTTATTGATATTAAGAAGAGCAGGTGTGGCAGTGTTGAATTCCTGTAGCATACGCTGCAGCTGATAGCTCAGAGGCTGTGTACACATTTAATATATACTTAATATAATACTGTTTAAAATTGAGCGTTGACGCCAAAAGACAACTGATGAATCATTACAATAATTAACTGTATCCTGTGATCAAACAAAGACACGTCACATGTGAGAAGGTATATAAACTGTAGGTTTCCCTCTCAAAGACACCCTGCTACCTGCTACTGCTGCAAGTGCAACCTCACCTGATCATCACATCAAGGTAAGGCTCTCATTCCTGCCTGTCATCACTGCATCAGCTGTTTTCATTCATATCTACAGGAAAGAGATTTATTATTTCATTTTTACATTTTTGAGCAAAAAACTGTAAAATATGCAAACTTTTAAAAAGAATTTAATCTTCCTGTATCATCAAACTACATCACTGTAAGAAGAATTTTTCAATAGTTTTGAAATTTTAATTTTGTAATTTAAGCTCACAGGTCACAGTTTCACATACATATCTGTGGTGCATTATTTCATTAATATACTGTGTCTTTCCACAGATGGCATCAAGTCTTCATTTGATCATGGTCCTCTGTTTGACCAGTGGACTGTGGATTGGAATGGTGAGTAATATATACATTTACCAGATCTTTAAACACTAGTTTCATGTCTCTGAGCCCAACATCATGTCTTCAACATATTTGTCATTTTCATATTTTGTCTTCACAATAACTACCAGTTACTGAGTACTAATGATGTTTTCTTTATGTTCACAGGCGGATTGTAATGGTTGGTACTTCTCAGAGTCGGGGGGTGGATGGTTACAATACAGCAGCTGACACTCTGTGACTCCTGTTCAAGTTTTTTAGTTTCAAATTGATTGTTTTTGGATCACAGCTTTATTGATTTATAATATCTATAGACTTCCAAATGGATATCAGTGTTTGACTTTGACAGCTATATTATATTTAGTCTGAGTCTTGAGACAAAAGTCTTTATTGGTTTTAGTCATTTTTATCCCTCATAGTTTTAGTCAATGAAAATTCATGACATTTTAGTCACCTTTTAGTCAATATGTTTTGGATCTGTTTTTATCTTTAAACTAATCCAGTAAGGCTAATTCATGAATCACAAATTAAAATCAAGGTGACAGGTTGTATAAAAATTTAATTTAGACAAATAATTTATGCAGACTTCCAAACTGACTCCTGTTCAAGTTTTTTAGTTTCAAATTGATTGTTTTTGGATCACAGCTTTATTGATTTATAATATCTATAGACTTCCACTGTCTTCAGGCACTTATTCACTTAAAGGACAGGTTCACAGGTTCTGCCATCCTCCTTCTGTGCAAAGCTTCAGAAGTTTATCCAAAGCTAATATGAGGCCTCAGCAGTCTGAGTTAGTCAAATCAAGTGGATATCTTCCTTGTTAAACTGCAGTGGAGAGTTTTTATAAGACAAAGAGGGAGTTTGAACTAAAATGACTGAAACTCTGAAAGCTTTATTTCTTATAGTGTGGTCACCAGTTTGGATGAGAGGGATAATTACAGGAATCAATAAGTCTCTGTATGCTTAGCATTTGAGTGTTGCATTAAGACACTTGAATGGATCTGAACCTGTTCTTTAAGGATTGATATTGGTCACCTTCACAAACAAACATGAGGAATGTGACTGTAATATTTCTCCTGACACTCTTGTATCATGTCGGCCACATGGATCACTGTGTGTAATCATTCTTCTCATCATCTCCAACTGTGTTGTAGATGATCACCATGATCACCATGACCACCATGATCACCACGATCATGATCACCATGACCACCATGATCACCACGATCATGATCACCATGACCACCATGATCATGATCACCATGACCACCATGATCATCATGATCACCACGATCACCACGATCATGATCACCATGACCACCATGATCACCACGATCACCATGACCACCACGATCATCATGATCACCATGACCACGATCACCATGATCATCATGATCACCATGACCACGATCACCATGACCACCATGATCACCACGATCATCATGATCACCATGACCATGATCACCATGACCACCATGACCACCATGACCACCATGATCACCATGACCACCATGATCACCATGATCACCACGATCATCATGATCATCATGATCACCATGACCATGATCACCATGACCACGATCACCACGATCACCACGATCACCACGATCACCATTAAATGCACCACTGAAGATCCCCAGCATGTGCTGACACATCTGCCGTGGCGATGTCACTTCTACCAGGGTGCCAAGCCTCGATGACATCACTGGAAGGAGATATACTGACAGTTTTGATTTCATGTCTGCTGATTCAATAAACAGATAAATTATGTTCAGTAATCTGTCTCATCTCTTTATGTAAGATCAATATTCCCATGTTTACCTTTTGAAACAAAAAAGGTTCAGTAATTTTGTTCTCTGCATATACTGTATTACATATGAAGATTTTGTTTTTCCATAACTGCCCAGACCAGGGTCGGAAAACTCTACTATCAAAAGAGACATTTTGGGACAAAAAATAAATTAAAAAGAAGTCCCTGGATAGCAAAACATCTCACAGTGTCACAGTGGTGGCAACACGCCTATTTAATCCTAATTATTTTATCAACACTACCAACAGGTCTGAATGAGTTTTTACCATCATGCTGTACAACCTGTAGTCAGGTGGTCTATTTTTAATTATTTATTTTGAGTCCAAATGGATATCAGTGTTTGACTTTGACAGCTATTTTATATTTAGTCTGAGTCTTGAGACAAAAGTCTTTATTGGTTTTAGTCATTTTTATCCCTCATAGTTTTAGTCAATGAAAATTCATGACATTTTAGTCACCTTTTAGTCAATATGTTTTGGATCTGTTTTTATCTTTAAACTAATCCAGTAAGGCTAATTCATGAATCACAAATTAAAATCAAGGTGACAGGTTGTATAAAAATTTAATTTAGACAAATAATTTATGCAGACTTCCAAACTTTCATTTCTCCAGCAGGGTTTGACAGGTCTGATTTAGTCAGACCCAGGGTGGTGCTGTAGCACATGCCCTTTTGGTCTCTGACTGGATGAATGCCCTTTTCGCAAGAGCTATCTTTCAATTTCCATTTTCAGCTGTCCAACTTCTACTTCTTCGTATAAACCAAAATTTAATTCAAAATAATGTTTGCGTCTCCCATGTTGCAGCTCTGATTATTAGTTTAAATAAATCTGACATGTGGTTTGGTGCTGCAGGAACATTCTGTGTGCAAAGAGCGCAGGAGGAGGAGTGCTGAGCTGCAGCTACTGCACATGTCTGCTCTCTGGGATTTGTTGAGAATATTTAAAGTGTATGTAGAGGATGATTATAAGAGTTAGTGCGGTTTTCTCTTAACAAAATTTCATTATCTACAGTTTTTAGGTGGTGGATTGAATTTAAAAAACATGAATTTAATTTTATTTATGAACCAACAGGAAATAAAGCAAACGTTAACTAGATCACAGGTTAAAGTGAAGGGTTCTGATGGGAAAGTGACAACAAATGAAAATATAAAAACAAGCCTTCCAATAAGGCATGTAGAAAAAAAAAATCATGTTTGTAGGAGGATGAATTAAATGCCAATAAACCAAACTTCCCCCCAACTATTTGCTTCCAAGAACACTGTGATCATCTGCTGCTGGTTTATTGGAAGAAGATCGAGGATGCAGCCTTGTTGGTGATGGTGACGGCAGAATGCTGTACAGGATTAATCTGTTTATTGATTCAACTGAAATCAAATCATAACTGTCAAAATATCTTCCACTTCCAGCAGTGATGTCCTCAAGGCTCAACAACCTGGTAGAAGTGACATCATCAGCAGGGATGTGACATCACCGCAGCAGGTGTGACAGCACAGGGCATGGGCCTTTACAGGTATTTGACACAAATAAAGGACCTCTTCAGATTACAGGGGACGTCATTGACATAATCATCTCCTGTAGTCAAACAATAACAGCACATCAGAGGGCTCTGCTGCACAGTTTTCACACTGACATTGTTTGACTTTTACCGATTAAAACTTTCTTTATATAACACTTATAAAACCTGGGTTAGAAACTGCTTCAATGTTGCAAATGAGACCACGTACTAAAAAGACAAAAATGTAAAGAAACAACCAAGAAGCAAAACAAAATCCAAAGTGTGAATAAAAGAAAATACAACACTCACATATGGTTACACCACATGATCAGAAACAACAGATATGTTTTCTATCTGCTGTCAACAGATAATCAGTTTTTACCTCCATAGTTAATCTCCATGCAGTTTTCTTTTACTCCACCGTTGGGCTCATCTTTTCCCCAGTGTTTGAAGTCAAACTGTGGGGTTCTACAGGGATCTGTTCTGGGACCACTGCTATTTATATCATACATCAATGAAATATGTGTCATCTCCAAAATAATGAAAACAATATTATTTGCAGATGACACCAACTTATTGTGCTGTGGTAACAACTTGGAACGACTTCTGGATGATGTGGAAAATGATTTAAAAAAAACTAAAGAGTTGGTTTGACTACAATAAACTAACACTGAACTTAAGCAAAACTAAATTCATAATATTTGGAAATCGTGCAACCTCCACAAGCAAAAAACTCACAACAAATGATATAGAAATAGAAAGAGTAATAATTGACCCCCTTAGTTGGAGTAATAATTGATAATAAACTATGTTGGAAACCACACATTGATTATATTAAAAATAGAATATCACAATCAGTCGCAATCCTTTACATAGTTAAAGATCTTGTGTGTCAAAAGTCATTATACCTTCTGTAACTGCTCATTTATACTTCCATACATAACTTGCTGTGTTGAGGTGTAGGGGAACACGTACAGTACCAACACCAAATCAGTATTTACACTACAAAAAAGAGCGATAAGAATAGTAAACAAAACCACCTACAGTGAACCGTCAAACCCACTATTTATCAAACTAAAAACACTCAAATTTAAGGATTTAGTTGACCTCAAAACTGCACAGATTATGTATAAAGCTAAAAATCTGTCATTTCCACAAAATATTCACAATTTGTTCCAAGCAAGAGACAAACACCATAACTTGAGAGGATCTGACATGTTCAATAAACCCTTGGTGAGAACCAATTCCAAATATCACAGCATCACAGTCAAAGGTGTCAAAATATGGAATGAATGTACAGATGAAATGAAAAACAGCAGCACTTTAAACAAATTTAAAAGATTGTTCAAAAACAGTAGATTGCATGAATGTGAAGCACAGCTGGCATAGTAAGTATCTTCCTTCCATGGGTATCCAATCCACATTACAACTAGGTTTTCTCATATCTTACGTATAGTCAGAACCAGAAGTATTCCAACTCGCAGTTGTGATTCTATTTCTTTGATTATGTATGTATGCATGCTAATATGCATCTCCGAATCTATATTTAATTGTAGCAACATTACTTGAAATAAGGGGTAGGTCAAGATAAGTGCATAACTTCTACCTACTCCTTTTCCAACGCTAAATATTTACCTCTGTTACATGATTGTTTCTTTTTTATTTTTTGTATGACTGATTACCTTATTGATCACCTACATTTTGTTCTATTTTATTTATGTTCAAAATAAAGATTTAAAAAAAAAACAAAACAAAAAAACCTTTGAGCCGTCACTCCACATCCACGCACCCTCCTGAAAGAAAAAAGGTTCATTTCAGCTGAGTTTTAACTGTGGTGCCTTTTTATGAAAGACTGGTTGCAGTATGTATTGTAGGTGGAATTATGCCATCTAGTGGTCCACATCACACCTGTCAGACTCTATGGAGCACTTTCCATCTCTTTATGTAACTACAGAATTACATACAGGATTTATTCAACATCAGACACACAGCTGCCACTGATGGATTAATGAATCGGCCCACTGGGAAGGAGGCTCCTTGCCTTCACCTGCAAACTGTCACTCAAATTACATGTCAGGAAGAGACACAAAATGACCTTTAGAGACACAAAACAACCAAAAAAGAAACAAAACTGCCACAAAAAGACAGAAAATACAAACAAGGAGACACAAAATGTCCAAAAAAGACAAAATCATCTCAAAGAGACACAAAACGACTACAAAGCGAGAAATAAATTATAATAAAAGAAAAAGCTAAATTGCCCCAAAGACACAAACGAGTAACAAGAACAAGTAACACTTGTGCCCCTCCACAGTCCAACCAGGAGGGCAACGTTTGCAGCAGTGATCAATAACACATTTGTAGACGATTAGAAGACAGAGGACAATTAGACAGTAAAGTAAAAAGCCTTAAAGCCACTGGAGGTCTGAGAATATTTTCCCTCAGCTCCCAAAGTGCCAGCTTCAGTATTTCATCTCCATCATTCTAAAAAGTACCAACCTGAATGTGCCTCACTTGCCACCTGTGGAAATAAAGACGCAGTCTTTAGTATTATACTAACATCGGCTCACACATCACCCATACCATTATTGCTGTTTTGTTGTTGCTGCAATCAAATATATTTTGCTTTTGGTAGTTTGTTATCACTTGTATTATTTCATGTATTGTTCTTTCTGTACTTTTGAGTTCTGAATTACTCTAAATATTATTAGGTGGAGGCTTCAAAAAAGTCCTCTGAGTTTCCTGTCTCTCACTGCACTGCATCTCATTATTAAGTTTTCTTGCCTTTTTGTGTTTTAATTGTGCAAAAATGATTATTATCAAACTCACCTTGGATTTGCTCCTGTTTGTAGCTTTAGATTGAAATTTAAAAAAATACAGGTGAAAGAACGCTCACTTTTATTGATCAAAATGTGTTATGTTACTTGCTTTTGTTGTAAAATGTTAATAAAAAATTCATATTTCAAGTTGAAAAGATGTTGGCCTGGAGGAGCTCTCACAGGACTGGTTTATGTTAAAGTTCAACATCTTTCTAAAATAAATGTATATTTTACTCACATTTGCTCCGATCCACTGGTGAAACAGAGGACCAATGAGAAGAGGACATGATGCCATCTGTGTGAGGACACAGTATATGAATGAAGTAATGCACCACAGAGAAGTATATATACTGTATGTTGGTCTAAATGTGAACTTCAGTTACAAATTTAAAATGGCATTTAAAAAATATATATTTTTTACAGTGATGTTATTTGGTGATAAAGACAGACAAAATACTGTACATATGTACACATACATGAAAAGGGGATTTTCCT